AGGTAATTTTAATAGCTTTGGGAGTCATCATTGCTACGACATAGTTAAGCTAAAGAACCGTATCATCAGGATGTTCGTAATATTAAAAATGATAGTATTTAGCAATACTTAGCATTACATGTTTTGAGAGAGGATCATACAGGTATGTTCTGTCTTGTCAGCATCACCAGCAAGCAGATAAATCTCTCTTTTATCTCTTAGTTTCTAACCTGTATGTAAATAACTGTATGTGCATTTTCTTTCTTAACAATCTATCTTTTGGCAAACAGAGAAAATATCAGGTCCTTCAATTTTGCTTAACTCGTCAACAAATCTGCCAGCTGAGGGGACCTCTGTCAGCTTATCCTGTGAGGCTTCTGGCTCAGTCTTTACCCGAAACTGGATGAAGGATGGCTCCAAACTGATCCTGACTGGCAACATGATCCTTTCTGACAATAACAGAGTTTTGACTTTTAACACTTTGAAGAAGAAAGATGAAGGAGAATATTTTTGTAATATCAGCAACCCTGTCAGCAGTGATGGAGTTAAATATGTTCTGATTGTTAACTGTAAGTAACATGCTGTTCAGTTTACACTAACTGTTCACACGTATGGTTATATAATATTAAGGTACAATATTGGCACTACTGACAACATATTTAATCAATCATTGCAATTGGTTTTGTTTTTTTTAATGCAATGAACACATTTATTGTGTATATTACTTTATTAGGTGTCCTTCAGATGGACCAGAACATTTTCAAATTGAAGTTCCAAAAAATATCCATATCAATATTAAAGACACCTTAAATTTGACTTCTATCCAACTGTTCATGTTCATCTAGATTTAATAGTGTTCGGTCCTTTGGGGCATCCCAGCCAAGTGATATAATCTCTCCAGTGAGTCCTTGAGTCATCCAATTCAAATGCTTATTTATTTCAATGCCTATTTCTGCTATCATAGATGTTGTCAGAATCCCTTACGCAGGATCACTGGAACATACAAACTGCAGTAAGGTGTAAATTTACAGAGGGGTTAAATTTGACCTGCTCTTCTAAATCCGCACAATCTGCCAGATCTACCTCATTCTTTATTTCAATTCAATTTATTTATATAGCACTCGTCACAGAATATAAACCACAAAGTGCTTCACAATAATATAAGAACAGATATACATATAAAACAGCACAATCAAACATTCAGCACAAATCTAATTAAAAGCCAATCTAAATAAATGCGTCTTGAGCTGCTTTTTAAAAGAATAAATACAATCAAGGTTATGCGATGATGGAGGGAGAGCATTCCACAACCTGGGGGCCACCGCTCTAAAAGAGCTATCTCCTCTGGTCTTAAAACGTGTTCATGGGACTACCGTGGGGTTCTAAAAGATGAGAAACGTAGGCAGGGGCATCACAATTCAAAGCTTTAAAAGTCAGTACCAAGATTTTAAAATGAATTCTAAAATGTACTGGAAGCCAGTGTAATGAACGTAAAACTTGTGTAACATGCTCTCTTTTTCGTGTCTTAGTTAAAAGCCTTGCAGCAGCATTCTGGACTAACTGGAGACGGTCAAGATTCCTTTTGCTCAAACAAAGAAAAAGACTGTTACAATAATCTAAGCAAGATGAAATAAAAGCATGAATAACTATTTCTAACTCTAATTTAGACAACAAAGTTCACAGTTGGGAGATATTTCTGAGCTGAAAAAGGCAATTCCTAATTAACTGTCGAGAGTGTTGTTGGCAGAATCAAAAATGGGGCAGATTATTACCAATTTGGGTGACTACATAAAAATAGAGGTTTTTAAGCATCACTCTCTCTTTTCTAAGAGAGTGAAGCACATTTCTCAAAGATGGATTAATGTAACTGAGAGGGCATCATCATCAGCAGTGTATGGATTTGATGTGAAAGGTACCTGAGTGCTTTGATACTCTTGGATGTTGCAGTGTGCCTATAGTATGGTACCACTAATAGTTTAAATGATGTACGTTTCCTGTAGTTTTAATATTTTCCATGAACTAAATTTTGGAAATGTTTCCTAACACTTACCTTAATCAAAACATTAATCTTCAGCAAAATATTTGCTGAAACTACACAGTGCATTCATCATTTTGACAAATACAAGTGCTCTCCAGACAAAGACAGCAATGCACTGACCAAAAGTCCTCTGAAACCTGTTCAATTATGAAATCAAACAAAGAGAGA